GTGCTGCTGGCGGCGTCGTGCGTGGGCGCGTCCGTGTGGTGCGTCGGGCCCTCGGCCCGTGCGCGTCGCTCGCCGCGGCGGGCTCCTCGAGGCCACGGAGCGGCCATGCGCAGGCCCAGACGCGACCGCGTCGTAACAAATTTTCAACGACGCGATCATCGCGTCGTAACAAACCCAGTTTTTTCGTCGCGATCGTCGCGACGCGATGAGGACGGGAGGTTTTTCGCCAGTTTCACCCTCCACTGCCAGCCGCCCGACTCTGGCAACACCCAGCCCATAAAGCCGACGCGTGGGAGTTTTCGGCACGGGGCCCCCGGAAGTCCCCGGCCAGTGTCTCCTGTCAGGCGAGTGGCAATGGAGGGTGACCACACTGGGGGGCGAAGAGAGGGGCCCTAAAAGGGCCTGCTGTTCTCCCTGTTGAGCCAGCCAGCGCCAGCCTAAAAGGGCTCCTAAAAGGCTCCAGTTGGGGCCCTTTCCTTCATCCCCCCATACAGGTCACCCCCCCGTTACCATCCGCCCGATTCTGGCAACACCCAGCCCAGAGAGCCGGCACGTCGGAGTTTTCGGCACGCGGCCCCCCGGAAGTGCTCAGGCCAGCGTCTCTTGTCGGGTGGGGAGCAATGACGGGTGACCTGACGGGGGGGGTGAAGAGAAAGGGCCTGCAATGGGCCCTATTCTTCGCCCCCACATCTCGGCGGCGAGCGAGGGGGAGAAGTGAGAAGGCAGAAGGTTCGGAAGTCCCCCGGCCTTCTGAAAATTGTTCTAAGCCTTCCCCGAAGACAAGAAAGGCTTTTCAGAAGGCGCGAGGGCTTCTGAGAAGTCCCGCCGCCTTTGAAAAATCCCCCCCATCGCTCGCCGTCTAACATAGGTCACCCCCCATTTTCATCACGCGACCGACTCTGGCAACACCCACCCCAGAGAGCCGACGCTTCGAATTTTTTGGCACAGGGCCCCCAGAAGTGCCCGGGCCGGCCGTTTCCTATCTGGCGGGTGGTAATGCGGGGTGACGTCAATGGGGCCAGCGAAAAAGGCCCCAATGGGTGCCCTTCATGGCTCCTTTTGGGGCAAGCAGGAGCCCAGAAGAGGCCCTAAGGGCCGCTTCGGGGTCCTTTTATCCACCCCCCATGCAGGCCACCCTCCATTACCAACCGCCCGGCTCTGGCACCCCCCCGTCCCCAGAGAGCAGACGCGTCGGATTTTTCGGCACGGGGCCCCTGGAAGTCCCCGTATTGGCGTCCCGTGTCGGACGGGTGGCCATGAGGGGTGACTTGACTGGGGGGGGGGGGGGGGGAATTGGTCCTGAGAGGGCCCTTCAGGGCGCCTGTTGTTGAAGGAACTCCTTTGTGATCGCTTGATCGGAGAAAGCCCGCCAGGAGATCGAGCAGAGCGCACGGCGGCGTGGGCGCGGCCGCCCCGCGGCCGCCCCGCGGCCCGCGCTGGAGGTTGCCGGGGAAGGGGAAACCACCGCGATCCCGAGAGCTGGCGCTCACTAAACCTCGAGCGCTTGGCGCTGCAGGCCAGCCACAACTGGGGGAGCTGTGGTCCTTCCCCTCCTGGGGGACCCATCGATTTCGACACCCCCCTCGAGAGATCGTCGATGCGATGGGTTCCCCCAGGGGGGTAAGGACCACAGCTCCCCCAGTTATGGCTGGTCGGCGTTGCAATTTCCGTTGCAGCGGGCGCCTTCGCTCGATGCCGGGCAACCCGGGGCCCGCACAGGTCGACCTGGCCCGAAAAGGAACGCAGAAAGGTGGGGTCTGGGTCTCCAGTGGTGATTTTCCGCGATGCTGCAATTTTTCTGCGGTGTCGGATTTCAGGGAACGCCCTTGGGCGTGCACTAACAGCCCCCCTGCCCTGTTCGGTCCCTTCTTGTGGTGCGTTTGCTGCACGCTTTTGTTCGTTGGGGTGTTAATGATAAGGGTGTTTTTTCTGGTCCTGCAGGTCGGCCATTCGCAGAGGGGGTCAGGGGGAGGGGGGAAGGCTTCTTACAGAAGCACCCCTTGCTGCTTAGAAGGCGTGGGCCTTATCTGTAGATGTAAGCCTGGCGCTTTCTAAGAAGCAGCCTTCTTCTAAGAAGCCTTCCCCGATCCCCCCACCCCCTGGTGCGCGCCGCCAATCTAGGTCGGCCAGCCTGGCCCGATCCGATTCGATTCCGATGTCCCCACGATGCGATGCGGCCCGATGCTGGCAGGTCGTTGCTGTGCATCCTGGCGCAGCTGGTCCGATTGGATCCCGACTCCGTGCCGATTCAGGAAGTCGAGGAGAGAGCCCCGGGGGGGCCCTGGCAGGTCAAGACGAAGCCCAGACAAAGTCCGAGCGGGGATGTCCCCAGTCAGGTCATGCGGCGCTGGCGCGACGCGCCGTCGTCGCCGGCGAATGCGTTCAAGGTCGAATTCTACGGCGCGGAAGCACTGAGGGACACGGCTACGACACGGGACCCGACGGAATTCAGCCTTGAACCATCGGCGAGCCGCGATCGATGCAAGGTGGACCGATCGACGCGGAGTTCAAAAACCTTTGCGCGCGCCGACGCTGCACGAACCTGCCGTGCACGTTCCCCCCTCCTCCTACCCCTTTGTGTCGGAGGGAGGAGAAGCGACACCAACACCAGGCGGCCCCCCTCCAGCGAGAGGGTCTTCCCGAGCTGGAGGCTGGGGATGTCTCGAGCGAGAGGGGGGGACCACACCGCCAGGGAGACCCCCCTTACCTCCCCACATCTTCTCGCCCCGGTGGTGTTGGTATCGCCTTCCCTTGTTTCTACGTGCTCTTGGGGGCGGCTAAGAGGGGGGTGATGACTAGGGGGGGGGGGAGATCATGGCGGGGGCCATGATATTGCCCCAGATCTCATGGCAGGGCCGCGCACGTGCCGCCGGCCATGATTTGCGCCCCCCCTCTTGGACGCCCCCCATACTGGCCGCCCCCTCCTCCTCGCCCTCCTTCTTTTCCTCCTCCTCCTTTTTCCTCCTCCTCCTCCTCGCCCTCCTCCTCCTCCTCCTCCTCCTCGCCCTCCTCCTCCCCCTTCTCCTCCACCTCCTCCTCCTCCTCGCCCTCCTCCTCCTCGCCCTCCTCCCCCTCCTCCCCTGCGGGCCGCCCGCGCGGCTCCTGCCCCCTTCGCGCAAACAAGCGCCCGCGCGCGGCGGCGGCGCCTCGCGAAGCGACCTCCGAGGCCGGCCCCCTGGAGGCGCGCAGCCGCGCCCCCGCCGCCCTCCCGCTGCGGGCGGCACGCCCCGCACGCGGCCCGGCGCCGGCCGCCGTCGGCGTCGTCGTGGCGAGGTCGTCGTCGTCGTGGTCGTCCCCGTCGTCGTCGTCGTCGTCGTCCCCGTCGTGGTCGTGGTCGTCGCCGTGGTCCTCGTCGCCGTCGTCGTGTCCGTCACCGCCGCCGTCGTGGTCGTCGAGCTCGTCGCTCGTCGTCGCCTCGTCGTTGTGGTCGTCGTTGTCGAGCTCGTCGCTCGTCGTCACCGTCGTCGTTGGGGTCGTGGTCATCGCCGTGGTCCTCGTCGTCGTGTCCGTCGTCGTCGCCGCCGTCGCCGTCGTCGTCCTCGGCCTCGTCCTCGTCCTCGTCGTCGTCTTTCAGAGGAGGAAGAAGTGCGGTCAACCCGCATAGTAAGAGTGAGCGACTCTTGTGAAGGTTACCCTTGGATCTGTCCCCTTCGGCCCATCCTTGGCCTCCCTCGCTGGCCGCGCCCCGCTCGCAGAGTGCCGCCGTGACCCTCCAAGGCCCTCGCAGCCTGATCGTGCGTCACTCTTCGGGCTGACTGTACTGATGCCGCTGGTTTTCCCTCGTTCTCGCCGCGCGTGGCCTCCTCGGAGGCCAGCACATCACGTCGGCTGGGTTGGCCTCGAACCCCTGGTCAGAAAACACCATGGGAGAGGTCCAGGGAATAACGGTATCGGTACGTATATCTCGTTTTCGCTGTGTGTGGCCTCCTCGGAGGCCCTCACATCACGTCGGCTGGGTTAGCCTCGAAATTTTGGTCAGAAGGCACCACGGGAGAGGTCCAGGGGATAACGGCATCGGTGCGTGTATCTTTGTCCCCCCAGTCCGCGTCATGGTCGTCCTCATCGTTGTCGCCGTGCTCGCCTTCATCCTCGCGGTCCTCGTCGTCCGAGTAGGAGAGAATGGCTAAACATACATGTTAGAAGCTCGGCGCGGATTTCTTGGATCGGCGTTGGGCCCCTTGCGCGGCGTCTTTGGCGCCGCCAGGAAGGGGGTTCAGCACCGAACCAAGGAATCCACGCGGACCTCCGAAAGCTTCTGTTCGTGCAGAGCTTTCCTCCTCTGTCGTCGTCGCTGTGGGCGCCGTCGTTCTCGTCGTCCTCGCCGTGGCCGTCGTCGCCGCCGTCGTCCTCCTCGTCGTGGTTCTTGGTGGTCCTCGGTGTGCTTCGGAAGGGTGCGTTCGTGGACCGGGGCCGGGCGAGTCGCAGGATCGCGTCTGCTCCATCGGTGCGGGGGCTACTGGGCCCACGGAGGCAAAGTCAGCTGCCAAGAACAGTCAACCCACACAGTAGCGATGGGCAGCCTTCCCAAGGGTATCCTTGCGTCCATTGCCTCCTCGGTCTATCCTTGGCCACTTTCGTCGACCGCGCCCCACTCGAAAAGCTTCGAAGAGGCCGTCCCAGCGTGTGCCCGACCTTGGCACCTTGGGGTCTCAGTGCTGCGCTGATGTGCCGGGTTCGTTCACGGAGCACGGTTTGCGGATCTTGGTTGAGGAGGGGCATCAGGACATGGTCTCATATGAGCGACGTCAAAAAACGGGATTGTTTGCGCCGACATTGGCGCAAGTTTCCCCCCGCAAGGTCGTTCGTGAGCGCCCTCGTTTCCAATACAACGTTCCGCGCCGGCGGCCCGCGTAAGCCGCGGCATAAGGGCGCTGTGTCATCTCACGTAGGACCCAGGTTTCGCGTCGCTCACATTGTGCACAAGCAAACCAGAGAAATGCAACGCGTGGCCCCCCGGAGTGAAGCCCAGGCCGCGCCTCGCAACAAAACACGGCTTCGTGGCCTTCGGCCCCTCCAGCCACCGTGCCTCGGACCAGTCGTCGAGGATCATGCTG